AAGCCTTTCCATATCCTGCCTCACATAAAGTACCTTACAGACCACATTCACATACACACAATGTAATAATACTGTATTTGTTTTGTTTGTTTTTTGTGTGAGTTTGAGTCCTGAATTTGTGAAATTTTCACACTTAAATGAACATTATTGAAGCTATTCTTACTGTAGTTGTTATTTTATATATAAAAAAATTCTTTGTCTTAAGAAGATTATTTTTAAGCATTTTGGTATTACATTTGAATTACGCAAAAAAAAAAAACCCAACAAAAAACAAAAAACAAACAAACTGCATTTATAGTCACATGAATATTGCACTGTCACCTTCAAAGCTTTAATCACATACCCATACCCTCACATCATTACAATAAAGCACATGAAGACAACACAAAGTGACTCTCCAGGTTTGATTGCTGCACCCTGAACGTGCTAAGTTGGAGCACTCACGCATAACTGAAGTGAAATATGTCTTGAAAAACATGAGTGGGCTGTTTAAACAGTCACTCCAAAAAAAAAAAAAAAAAAAAAAAAAAAAAAAAAAAAAAAAAAAAAAAGCACAGCATCAGTTGAGTTTTCAAACCACAAGTTTTTGCCTTCTGGTGCAAAACCACTTGCTATTGCTATGGTACAAAAACAAGGAGAAGTAAGCTAATGTCTTGTCTCACAGCTGATGTTAAAGGGGTAAATACTGTACAAGAATACTGTATATTCAGCTAAACTGGGAGGATTTTTTTTTTGTGGCAAAACTTGATTACTTGCCAATTTTTAAAGCTGTTCTTATCGCAGCAGAGATGGGAAGGAAACACAAGGTTGACCTTTTGGTAAACCAGGAAAAATACACTCTTGCTTTAATTTTCATTTATTTATTTAAAAGGACATCATACATTAATATTTTTATGAATACAAATGAAAATTAATGCAACAGCTACATTTCAGCTTCTTTTCTCAGCTCTCCACTTTCGAGGACTGCTTCTTTCAAAGTTCAGTATGTTGTTGATATAAAACTGAGATTAGATGAAGGTTGGATTAAGTTGTAGAATAGAGGCATTGATTTTTTTTTATCTTTTTTTGTGGTGCAATGCAAAGAAAAGTGCAAAGTGTTGTTTTTACTCAGTAATTTTAGTCACAACTTCAGTGTTGAGCCTTTTGCAGTAAGCAGTAAACTGTATACAAACCTCAGTAAATGTAAATATGCTGCAGTACTGAGAACTGAAACATATTGATTCTGGATTTTCCCTGTGCTCTAAGCTGCCTCCGTCTCTCTCTGATATTAAACCTCTCACTTCCTTTTTGAGGCCGGTTTTTTTTTTTTTTTTACCAGCCAGCTATTTTTACCGTAAGCTTCTGCTTGCTCACAGAGCCCCTTTACCTGTAGAGGAGGATGTGTCCTCTTCATGCCTGTGGTTGCTGTCCTCCTAAATGTTATCAATACTTTGCAGCTCGACATTTTGATGCAAATCGTGATCATTAAAAAAAACGAAAACCAAAATGTTCTGACATGATCAGCTGATTGTGTTAAAATTGACAATGTTCTCTGTTGTTTTCAAAGCTTCAAATACAGAGACAAACATAAAACAGAATTGGTTGTAGATCAAAAATGTAAAATCTCGAATAAACAAAAGGACATTATTTAAGTATTTAATTAATAAAAACCAAGTTTAAATACAATCTTCATGTATTTTTTGTTGTTCTCTAGTTTTGTTGCAAATCTGGATCATTTTTATTTACAAAGTTGTTGAAGTTCCAGTTTCTTTCTTAAATGCACAACTCTTCTAAAGTCCTGAAGTGGCATTTCAAACATTTTTTCATTTTTCAGGTCTCAGTTTTGTCCGGGTCATTAACAGAATCTCAATTCTTTTCTTTTTCCAGCTAATCTTTCGTGGTTATAATGTGGTGTATGGGATCATTGTCTCGCTGCATGACCCAGTTTTAGGTCAAACTTTAGCTGTTAAAATTGGAAAACAAAGGGAATTCATGGTCAACACAGGGGCTACAAAGAAGCTGCAAAGTAAGCTCAAATAATAAACTTTTTACACCTATGCTGACAGCTGGAAGAAAATGAAACGTTCGCGTTGTGGTGTGGTGCATTATTTTCTGTCGTTACACGTCCCCTTTTTACCCTCATCTGGTCAAATTGAGGTGTTCTTGCTATTTTGTTGTTTTATTGGATGCAACTTGACAAACAAAATACCTATGGAAACATACAAATACATGATATATGTCATGTTGTTCATCCAAGGTTGTTTTTGTTTCAGCTTTAGGACCTGATAACAGTTTGATCATGTCTTCATCAATTAAAACCTTAAAGAAAATTTGTATTTACAGTCTCCTATGCCTACATGTTGACATTTTATTCTGATAATTTGCCACACAACTAACAAACTGCATTCACATTTACAGTTCATGATTTGTGTGGAATTTGGAGAAACTGATCTGCCTTGTTAGAAACAACTCCCACAGAATCAGTGGACTTGCCTTGTTGGTAGTAGTTATGTGTTCACACAGTAGGTGTAAGGCAGTAGACAAGGGTTATGGGCTTACAAACTGTGCGCTGAGATGCTGTGCGCTGTAACGTTTTATTCTGTGTTTCGGTTTTTGGCCGTGATTCAGTGAAAAGCAAATTCATGTGGCAGCCTTACATCTGCTTCCAATTATCATGTACTTTAAACTGGACCAAATTCAAAGAAAAACTATTAAAGACCCGTAGAAAATCTGGGAACTATTAACAAAAAACATAACTAGATAGAATTGAAATCTTCTGTTTGATCTTAAACTGCTGTAAAGCTGCAGTCTGTTTAACGGTCAGCAGGAGGCGAAAACATTTTTTGCCAAATTAGTCCCATTTTCTAACCACAGTGAACATAATATTAGTAAGTCTGCTAATGAGGGTTTGTTTTAGGATTTTTGGATAAAACTCTAATGTTATTTTATGGGTGAAAATAAGTGTAAAGATGTGAGATTTTAATGCTGTGAGGGCCTAATTTGCATTCATTTGTCTGACTGTAACAGCAGTTTTGTCTGTACTTCTAATCAGTTAATCCTTGTTTCTATTTTAGTAACATACATTATTTTTGACCTCTTTTGAATTATTTTGTTCCTCAAACAAAGGTGATAAATTTAATCCATTATGTCCTCTTCCTACCTGCTGCTGTTTTATTTCTGTGAGCCTGCTGAGCTGCAGACGGACTCACGTTTCACATCAGAACTCATTTTTGTGTTGATCGATTGTTTTTTTCTTGTTTTCTTGATTTTCACAGAACCTAAGTGAACCAAAATAATCAGAATCCTGTTGCACACGCTGTTTGATTATTACTATTTTTAACAAGTATCGACAAGCTAAGTGTTACACATCACAACAGGTTTCAGGCGGATGTTTCGCTGTCCTGCTCCCAAATAAATAAATTAAAAAATAAGAATTTGATTGGGGAAAAGTCAGCGAGGAGACTCCGATGGACCTGCAGCTGAGCAGATTGCGATCAGTGAAGTGACTCCTGTTTTACGTAACAAACACAATCTAATCCAGCTCGTTCAATCAGATATGATGCTCACGGATTAACCAGCCTGTTTGAAGCTCATTGTTTCACACTATTTTCACTTTTGCTTTTGTAGTGCATTTTATTCTCCCTGACTGAGCAGAGTTAGTGTTTTTGTTAAATTAGTTACAAAAATGTTTTTTGTATTTTATCAGTAGCCTGGAGTTTTTGGGGTTATTTCTTTCTCATAAAGATTATGGAGCTGAAGACATGTCTTTTACATTTCAGATTATATTTGTTAATCCATAAGAATCCTGATTTTAAGAGAAGGATCTTTCAAATTCAGCATTAGATTTGGTCAAGAAGATGTTTACTTCTGCGATAATAACTTGATGAAAGAGGGGAGTTGGAAGGATTTGTTGTTTAAAGGTTGTAGGTAAATTTAATTTGTTTGAAAAGATTTGCTAACCTGCTCTTCAGCTCTAAAGACAGAGCAGGATATTATTCTCATCCTATATATATA